ATGTGGTCAAGAAAGCACAGAAATTGGTGATGTGGGTGGCAGCACTGAAGCTTTAGGAACATGCCAAGAAGGTAGGACAGAAAGAATAAACTTGATCTCGCTTAAACCGAAGCAAACCTTCAATTGATTGTGGTGTTCCGTAAGGAGGATGAGCCTACTTCTCTCGATACCATAGCAAAGGAAGTTAAAGACTCATGTAAAAATTTGGAGGGAACTGACACCGATTTTGACAAGATAGCGACCTGCCTTCGGGATGACCTGATACCAAGCCCAATTTCCTCCGACTGCGTGGGTGTATGTCTTGGTGGTACCACGATCAGTCTGGTTCCAATGTTGGTACTCCCGTCGCTGATGCCTTGGTCGAAGAGAGAAGAGCCAAGGTGACGTCTCCAAGGGCGCCCCCAACCGATGTTTGATTGGGTCCTTAGTGATCTAATGTATATATTTTGTTTTTATTTGGTGCCTGGATGGTTTTAATTGATTACTTTTGTGTCGTTTTGATTGTGCCAAGGCACTTTTATTTAAACCTTTACTTTATGTTTAAAGGGTTCTTGTTCTTAGAATAGTTGAAGTTCAAAATGATAGTATATGCTTTAGTCGAGATGCAACATGTCTAATCTCCAAAGCTTAGGTAATTTTGTGCAAGACGTCTTAAAGACCAGTGTTTTTGTGTTGATGTGTGCGTAGAAGAGCACTTAATGGGTTTAGGTGTTTACTTCGGCCTTCAGGGACTGCAATGTAGTCTCTAATTATGTTCTCGTCTACAATAGTAAACTGTTGGTCTGTTGCGATCAGTGTGCTTGATCTTAGATTATTATAGCACGCTTTCTCTTATTTGTAAAGGATGTTTCTTGCACCCACATCCTAGGAAATGTGGTTTAAAAAACAGTTTAGAGAATTCATGTATGCTGTTTCGTTGTGTCCAGAAATGAGACGAAGCAAAGAGTTCGAGGTTAAATTCCGAAAACATTCAGGAAAATGAATAAGTAAAGAAGTAATCTTAAAAATAACTAAGTAAAGACTCAAAAAAATGGCTAAGTAGAAATAAGCTTAATAATAGTGATGCGGTGAAGCATATGTACCATTTTGCAGGGATCAAGTTGTCCCTTGTCGTAGTATGCCTAAGTTATAGTATTTCTTCAGATGCATAACGTTCCACGATCTTGGAATTGTTTCTCCCGACATAGTCACCAGTTCGTCGACTCCTAGACGAACCACTTTAGTGGCCTTGTATGATCCTTCTCAATTTGCTCTGAGTTTTCCAGCATTTCTCTCGACTGTGTTTGGAAGGTTTTGCGTAAGACTAACTCTCCTTCTTGGAATCTTCGGCTTCGAATCTTTTTATTGTAGTACTTAGTCGTTGCTTTTTGGTAATTCTGAATCCTTATCAGGGCTTGATCTCATCTTTTGTTTATCAGATCCAGCTCGTCGAAGATCATCAAATGATTCAAACCTTCTTGTCCAGGCATAAGTCTGCGTCGAGCTTTATTAATATCCACCATGAATGGGATCACGCATTCGGTTCTGTAGACAAGAGCAAAAAGCGTTTCTCCCGTAGCTCGCCATGGTGTCAATCAATGTTCAAAAAATCGCTAGGCGGTGGCTAGGCGGGTGATAGGAGATTAGCGTCTAGGCGGATTAGTTGGAGACTAGGCGGAGCCTAGACGTTAGCAAAATTTTTGTTAATTTTTATAAATTTTCTATCTATATATCATATTTTTTAAAAAGCTTTAATTATTTTCTTAAAAATTATTTTATCAAAATTTATGTTTGAATAAAAAAGTAAGAAAATTTAATAAATAAAATTATAGAATAAAGTTCAACAAAGAAATCAAACTAAAAATCATCAAATTCTTCAGACTAAAACAAGTTTTAATCTAAAAACTTTAAAAATATAAAGCAAAGAGAAATATATCTAACTTATTCTTCAAACACATCCATATATATCCACCACCTGCTCATTTTCAGACTCAAATTCAAAATCAATAGCTATATCATTTTCATCGTCGGAATCAATATCTCCTCTAGGCTCATCGTTAAAATTGAAAGTTGAAACTTAAAACAGAGCACAAACAAAGTAAACAAAGATGAAAAGACAAATTAAGAGAATACAATATAGTTATATAATATGTACAGATAGATAAAGAGAAGATTAAACAAACTTGTAAAGTTCAGCAATAGAGAATAATGATCGCCTCTTGTAGTTTATGAAAGTGAAGTAGCAGGGAGGAACGATGATGATTATATTAAGTTATTAACCCTAATCCACGTTTCAAATCTTGTTTTTTTCTCTCTTTTCGGTAAACCGATATTGGTTTACTATCCAAAACCGTAAAATTTGACTGAAAGAAGGATAAAAAATAATTAGTATGATTTGGCCGATTTTGCCGATTTGGTCTGATTTTTCTGATTTTCTCCGACTTGGTCCGATTTTTTACTAAACCGGATTTGCTTCACTGATGTTATGAAAATCGGGTCGGCTAACCCCGACTAGCCGCCTAGGCGGCTGCCTAGTCGCCGACTAGGCCGATTTTTTGAACACTGGTGTCAATCGATGGGAACACAACACTCCTTCTCATTCGTCAACCCAGCGCCATTTCTTTGCATCGCAGCGATTCTTCAATCTGTCCAAGATAGATTTATTTGCTGCCTCAGCTTCTATGTTGCCTTGTGATACCTCGGAGTTGACTTACTTAGACGAATCTTTGACTTCTCGCAGAAAGCTTCAAACCTAGTCGAGGTGAACTAAGAACCATTATCCATGGCGATTTCGTAGGGGACTCCATGTCTGTAAATGATGTTTTTCCAGATGAAATGTTCTACTTGAGCGACCTTGATGTTGGTGTAAGAATCAACTTCGACCCATTTGTGTGAGCCAAATTGTGTGAGTTAAAACCTGCACAATCAAAACTTATTAGAAAAACAAAGAGAGGTTCTCAAATATCTAGGGTTTAATTGAAAAAAAAAATATCAAAAAATATTTTTTATTGATGTTTGGAAAAAGCTTTTGGTACAAGTGTTTGTGCATAAATTTAGGATTGCCAAAAAGATTTCATAATTAACAAATCAGTTTACTATATATATAAATTCTATAAACAACAAATTTCCTTATTTTCTTGAGTGGCTACCGCCCTAAATTTCTTCTAGGGTTGAATTCCTGGCTCGTTTAGTGAGCTTCACATCGTCTTGTCTCAACTCCTATGGTTTGTGGTTCGGCCCAAATCCCAGAGAGCTCGGCCCACCATTTTACTGGGCTTGGGTTCAGCCTAAACTGTGAGGTCCCTTTAGCCTGTCATTGCACGCAGCTTGGCTCGGTCCAACTTCCTTCTCTGGTCTGGCCCGACCAAACCAAACCATCGAATCCGAACTGTGGCTTTATTTAGCTTGGTTTGTCTTCTTGATGTGGCTTCGTCGAACAAAGCCCCTTGTTGGGCTCCGCTCCTTTTGATGAAGTTGACTCGATAAAGCCCACTCATACTTATTAATTTTCGGCAGTTGAACTCGTTAGGGTGAATACCGATCCCAACAAAGCTCAACAACTTTACTCAAGACAGAGACATGTCAGCCTTACACGCAGAAACAAAATAGAAAGTAAAGAAACACGTGTTAGTCTGCATGTTGAAAGCTTCGCCGGCCGACGCTCCCACCAAGTCAGCGAATCCACCACCGCACGATACCAGTTTGGTCGAGGATTTCAGATGAATAAGCAACAAACCTCCCAGCACCACCATACCTCCTTCAACAGAAACCTATATGAAATCCCAAATGGTTGAAAGCTTCTCGCCTTACAAGGATTCATTTCTGGTCGTCTCTAGCCTACGCCTTGACCCTTGATTAAGGCTCTTCAAAAGGGTATTTCGGGAGATACAACTCCCAGTCACGAGAAACAATACCAAACTTGGGAGAGAGTTTCCGCCATCATCGACGCCTCATGCAAGAGGAGTAAATCTGTAGAAGAAAAAACTCTGAAACAGAAACCTTTTGCTCACTCACCAGAGACAAAATCAATTCTTTAGATTTGGTGAGAATCTTCACTCTACTAAGGATTAGTGAAGAACATCTCTCACAAAAGGAAGAATCGATCTTATTTTATAAGAAAGTCACTCGGCCCCAAGTAAAGGAATTCCAAGAATCAGAAAACGAAATCCGTTAAAATGAAAACTATTAATCTGACTAGAAGAAATATAAACATGTTGAAGAATAATTATCCAAACATATATTTTACTGTGTCACTGCCTTTTGCTAAGTCGGTAACAATATTAAATGTATTTAATTTGTAGTATAAATATGTAAACTTTGCTAAGAGATGATCAATAATAAGAAGAGAACAATTCTCTCTCGTGTTTTCTCCCCTTCTCTTTTGCTCACTCTTTCTCTCTCTTCCATATATATATAACATATACAAAACACATTTTACCATTATATCATAAATTACATAAAACGTTATCTTGATCCGCTGTTATACCTAAAGAGGTCAGATTTAAATTTATGTTTATTTCAAGTTTTACGTATTATTTTCGGGATGATAGGCTCTGCCTTCCCCGAACCGTTAATTAAATTTATATTAAAGTTTACGGGATAATAGGCTCTGCCTTTCCCGAACCGATCATTGAGATAGGCTATGCCTTCACGATCATATGATCATATGGTAGACTATGTCTCCTCAGATCATATATATGGAGTAAAAGGTTAAACTTCCTCCCTGATATTATGTTTACGGAGTAGAAGGCTCTACCTCTTCAAAAAATTATATGGTAGGCTCTGCCTCCTCAAAAAATTATATGGTAGGCTCTGCCTCCTCAAAAATTATGGTAGGCTCTGCCTCCTCAAAAAATATGGTAGGCTCTGCCTCCTCAAATTATATGGAAGGCTCTGCCTCCAATATTACTTTAAATTTTATGCTTTATTATGTGTAAAAATTAAATTTTTATTATGTTTTCTCGTTAAGCAGATGTTAATACTGAACATTTGCTAAATTGATAAAATTATATACAGTTATAATGTCGAATTTGGCGAAGCTCGAAATCTCTGCCCTTGATGTGTCTGGAAAAAATTATATGTCATGGGCAGTAGGTGCAAAAATGCATCTAAGAGGAAACGATACCATCGATAAGTCGGAAACGACATCAGATGAGAAAAAGGCGAAAGCCATGATATTTTTGCTCCACCACATCGATAATAGTTTAAAAGAAGAATATATCACGAAAGAAACTCCTGCAGATCTTTGGCAATCTCTTAAAGATAGGTTTGATCACCAGAAATATGTGATCTTACCAAAAGCCAAACATGAGTGGTTAAACCTCCGGTTTCAGGATTACAAAAGTGTTGGTGAATATAATTCCGCTATATTCGGAATTACTTCCAGGATGATGTTATGTGGACAGGAGGTAAGTGATTTCGACATGATCGAAAAAACTCTCCAAACATTTCATCCTGGAAATGTAATCCTGCAACAACAATACCGGGCAAAAGGTTACCACTTACTCGGAGTTGATGCAAGTCCTCCTTGTAGCTGAACAAAATAATCAACTCGTGATGTTGAACTATCAAACTCGTCCAACTGGATCATCGCCATTCCCAGAAGCGAATGTTGCGTCATCCAGTCAAAATAATAGAACCGAACGTGGACGCGGGCGCGGTCGAAACCGTTACCGCGGTCGCGGACGAGGTCGTGGACGAGGAAGACAAAATGATGTTGGTCGGGAAGCAAGAAAGCAAAAGGAAACTGCTTGTTACAGATGCGGCATGAAAAATCATTGGGCAAAAACATGTCGTACACCAAGACATTTAGCCGATCTGTATCGAGCATCACAAGATGCCAAAGAAAAGGATAAAGGAAAGAATTTTGAAACCAATTTCATCTCTGATGAAGCTGGAACTTCCTTTGATGACATAAATGATTATACTCATCTTGATATCGCTGATTTCCTAGTTGATCCAGAAGAATCAACGGAAACAAAGCGATTAAGATCGATGTAATGTAAAGTTTTCTCGAAGAAGACAAGAAAAAACCCTATGTAATTTTAAATAAAAATGTAATATGTTTTTGTTAACAAGACAAGGTTTTCTTAATATAAATAACTTTTAAAATCATGTTCTGATTTATTAATGCATTTTCTTGCATATTTTGATTTAGATTATGTCATCATTTGAGATTCAGGATGGAGATACATGTCTAGCCGATAGTGCTACGACACATACTATACTTAAAGATAAAAAGTATTTCTCCTGTCTCAAAATAAAGGACTCCGCCGGAAGCGTGGGTACCATATCTGGTAATGCAAATATTATAATTGGCTCCGGAAGAGCTAATTTTTCAATGCCAAGGGGGACAAAGTTTGAAATAAATGATGCATTATATTCCCCCGAATCTAGTAGAAACTTGCTAAGTTTTAAAGATATCCGAGGAAATGGATATCATATAGCAAGTACAAATAAGAATGGCATTGAATATCTTTGCATTATATCTGAGAGGAAACGCGTATTGGAAGAATTACCAATGATGTCCTCTGGGTTATATTGCACAAAAATAAATATGACTGAATCCTATGTTACAGTAAACCCAGGGTTTACTAGTACATTTAGAGTATGGCATGAAAGACTTGGCCATCCTGGATCAGTCATAATGCGAAGGATTGTGCAAAATTCGAATAGCCACCCATTGAAAAACCAAAAGATTTTTCAATCGGGAGAGTTTTCATGTCAGGCATGTTCTCAAGGAAAACTCATAACTAGGCCCTCGCCAGCCAAAGTTGGGAATGAATCTCCTGTATTCTTAGAAAGAATACATGGTGATATATGTGGGCCGATTCATCCACCGTGCGAGCCATTTAGATATTTCATGGTATTAATTGACGCATCTACCAGATGGTCACATGTGTGTTTATTAACCACAAGAAATATGGCTTTCGCAAGATTCATTGCCCAAATAATCAGGTTGAGAGCGCAATTCCCTGATTATGCCATAAAGAAAGTCAGGCTTGACAACGCTGGTGAATTCACTTCAGCAGCCTTTAATGACTATTGTATGTCATTAGGAATCGATGTTGAACATCCGGTTCCACATGTTCATACACAAAATGGCATGGCTGAGTCTTTAATAAAACGGTTGCAACTGATAGCAAGACCGTTAATATTGAGAACAAAACTCCCAATTACTGTATGGGGACATGCTATATTGCATGCTGGGACATTGGTCCAGATGAGGCCAAGTGCATATAATGAATATTCCCCAATACAGTTAACATCTGGCAAAGAGCCAAATGTATCCCATCTCCGTATATTTGGATGTGCGGTCTATGTCCCAATAGCCCCGCCACAAAGAACAAAAATGGGGCCACAAAGGAGATTGGGAATATATATCGGCTATACGTCACCAAGTATAATTAGATATCTTGAACCAATAACTGGAGATATGTTTACGGCACGTTTTGCCGATTGCCACTTTGATGAAAATGAATTCCCAGCGTTGGGGGGAGGATCAAGAGAATCACCAAAGGATATCACATGGTGTACACAAACCTTGGCTTATCTCGATCCCCCTACCCATCAACGCGAAATGGAAGTTCAAAAAATCATACATTTGCAAAGGTTGGCAAACCAGTTACCTGATGCGTTCACAGATATGAGAAAAGTGAAAAAAATCATATATCCCCGCTGCTAATGCTCCATCAAAAATAAATGTTCCGGAACTAGTTATTGATGGGAATAAAGCAAATGAACCGCGGGTTCAGTTAAAGCGCGGGAGGCCGATGGGCTCGAAGGATAAAAATCCTCGAAAGAAAAAAAAATTGGGAGACAAGGTTCCAGAAGAACCGAATAAAGAAAAATGTCTTGAAGACATTGGTGAAAAGGTTATAGAAGAACCATATAAAGATATATGTCCTGAAGACATACATGAAGAGGTTCCAGAAGAACCAATTAAAGAAGTTCGTCTCGAAAACAAACATGATACTGAAAAGTATGAGATTTCCATTAACTTCGCCCAAAGTGGGACATTATGGGCTAGAAGCGAGATAAATGATACAAATGGAATATTCTCCTTTTCGGTATCTAAAGAAATTGAAAATGAAAATGATGATCCAGACCCAAGGTCCGTGTCAGAATGTCAGAAAAAGTCTGACTGGGAGAAATGGCAGATTGCCATGAAAAATGAATTAAACTCCCTGAATAAAAGAAATGTCTTTGGACCTATAGTCATTACACCAGAAGATGTAATGCCAGTCGGGTGCAAATGGGTCTTTGTGAGAAAAAGAAATGAGAAAAACGAGGTTACAAGATATAAAGCCCGACTTGTGGCACAAGGGTTTTCTCAAAGACCGGGAATTGATTATGAAGATACATATTCCCCGGTCATGGATGCAATCACATTCAGGTACTTAATGAGCCTAACGGCATCTAAAAATCTAGAAATGTACCTTATGGATGTTGTGACTGCATATCTATATGGATCACTTGATAGTGATATATATATATATGAAAATTCCAGAGGGAGTAAAGATCCCAGAAGGATCAAAGATGCCTGAAGCATCTAAAGACATATGTTCGGTCAAATTACAGCGATCACTTTACGGATTAAAACAGTCTGGACGCATGTGGTATAATCGCTTAAGTGAATATTTGTTGAGTAAAGGATACATCAACAATGCGATATGCCCTTGCGTATTTATTAAGAAATCCTCGTCCGGATTTGTGATCATTGTTGTATATGTTGATGATCTGAACATAATCGGAACTCAAAAGGAGATTGATGATGCACGAACTCACATGAAAGAAGAGTTCAAAATGAAAGATCTTGGAAAGACAAAATTTTGTCTAGGGCTCCAGATTGAGCATTTCCAAGATGGGATATTTGTGCATCAATCAAATTACACCAAAAGAGTGTTAAAACGCTTTAAAATGGATAAAGCAACTCCTTTGAGTACTCCAATGGTCAATAGATCACTTGATATTAACAAGGATCCATTTCGACCTTGTGAAGATAACGAAAACATATTAGGTCCTGAAATACCTTATATGAGCGCTATCGGTGGGCTTATGTATCTTGCAAATTGTACTCGACCAGATATAGCTTTTGCTACTAATCTACTTGCAAGATACAGCTCATCTCCTGCGCGCAGACATTGGAACGGGATAAAACATATTTTTCATTATCTCCAAGGTACGATTGATCTGGGTTTATTTTATCATAGAAACCCCAAAGTTGGTCTAGTTGGTTTTGCAGATGCAGGATATTTATCAGATCCGCATAAAGCTCGATCGCAAACTGGATATGTTTTCACAATTGGTGGAACGGCGATCTCATGGCATTCTCAAAAACAGACTTTGGTCGCCACTTCTTCTAATTATGCGGAAATCATTACTTTTCATGAAGCATGTAGAGAATGCATAGGGCTCAGATCCATGACTCAACATATACAAGGTGCAAGTGAAATAGTCATCGATACGGAACCAACAAAAGTATTTGAAGATAATGCTGCATGTGTCGCTCAACTAAAAGAAGGCTATATCAAGAGTGACAGAACAAAACATATTCCTCCAAGATTTTTCTCTTATACGCAAGAGCTCGAGAAGAATCAAGAAGTCGATATCCAATATGTTTGTTTATGTGAAAATGCGGCGGACCTCTTTACAAAGGCGCTTCCTACTACAGTATTCAGAAAGCATATTCAAAGTATCGGAATGCGTCATTTGCGGGATTTATAAAGAGAATGTTATTTCATTATTTTAGGGGGAGATTATGTTACTATACTCTTTTTCCCTTGTCATGGTTTTTATCCCATTAGGTTTTTCCATAATAAGGTTTTTAACGAGGTAGTACGTAATACATTAACGATGATGATGGATAATTAAGGGAGAGTGTTGAAGAATAATTATCCAAACAAATATTTTACTGTGTCACCGCCTTTTGCTAAGTCGGTAACAATATTAAATGTATTTAATTTGTAGTATAAATATGTAAACTTTGCTAAGAGATGATCAATAATAAGAAGAGAACAATTCTCTCTCGTGTTTTCTCCCCTTCTCTTTTGCTCACTCTTTCTCTCTCTTCCATATATAATATATATATAACATATACAAAACACATTTCACCATTATATCATAAAATACATAAAAAAACAAACCGTGATTTTATAGTCAGAATTATTTTTTGGACTAAGCCAGAAATTTACAACAAAAATCACGTTCTAATATAAGAAACATGGGTCTAGGGCCTCAAATTTTTGAGAAAAAAATTAGAAACCTTTTCTTTTGCAAGATTTATACATACATATTTGACTTTAATTTTTTTTAATTTGGTTCTAGTAGACTCAATAGAATTAGTTAGCGCCTCTTCAAGTGAAAATAAGAATCAATAAAATAAAATAGAAGCTAATCCAAAGAAAATAAATAAATAAAAAGAAATACAGCATTACAATATTAGGATAAACAATTTTCTCAGTGTATTTCTGTTGTAGTGTCTTTTTAAAGTTTACCAAAGTCATTAAGTTTGATATTTGTACTTTTTATTTCTTTTGCTTTTATTTCATTTTTCATAATTTCTAGTGATATTTTTGTCTCAAATCATAACCACAAATATTATAAAACGATGTTTAAATTTATAGATATCACCGACAACACAAAAAACTATATGAATATTCTGTTGTAGAAATAAGTTTTTGTTTGTAGTTCTTAGTTTTTTTATTAAATAATAATATTAACTTTTATAGACAGATTTCATATTTTTTTGATGTCTATTATTATGGGAAAACGGTTTATATATACCTCAACTGTACATTATAGTACCAATAAGTACATGTATTTTTTTGTTATGCCTACATATATCTGAACTATAAATAATTTGAATATTTATACCTGAGCTCAATTTTTTGGACGAATCATGCATTGACTCTTAATCTGTTAGTCAACTCCGTCAAATTATTAATGGGGCTGACTCACCTACCATGCTGGAATTCCTGTTAGAGCAGAAACATGATGCAACATCGTTTTGCATAATTCTGGAAAAGAACACTTTGCATGCTCGAGGAATCAAACTCTGAACCACCCCTATTGAACCGAACCCATAAACCAATAGACCATATGTATTTATTAATGATCTATCGCATATTTAGACAATTTTAATAATCTCACACCCATTATTAAAAAACAAATCAATACGATGTCGTATTGGTTATTCATTTGTTTTAATCTTCTCGGATTTGGACAACAATGGAATAATCTTTTTGGATTTTTTAGGTTCCTGAAGTTTTTATCCAAGTGGAGTTTCTACATATACAAGCTTTCGGCATTCCTCTTTATCTTTCAGGAACACCACGACTCATACTTACACTATACCCTACAAATTTATAATTGAATTGAATTGAATACAAATTCATACTCACACTATACCCTACAAATGCATCTGGTCTACTGGTTCTAGGCTCGATTTGATGGGTGTGATTCTTGTGTGATGTGGGTTCGTATCCTCGAACTTGCAAAAAAAATTTCTTTTCCAGAGTTATGCAAAACAACATCATATTACATCTTTGTTCTAACGGAGATTCCAGTATGTCAGGTGACTCAGTCCCATTAACAAGTTGACAGAGTTAACTAACGTGTATATAGTCAATGCACGATTTAGCCAAAAAAAAATCGAGTTGGAGCACTAAAATTCAAATTATATATAATTGAGGTATGTGTGAGCATAATAACAAGAAAGTAAATGCATTAATCGGTATCATTTGGTGCAGTAAAGACATGAATAAATCGCTTTCTCAATTATCTTTCAGTGGTTTGGGAAAGGATTGAGTATGTGTTTGCCTCCCAACCTTGAGATCAATTCCACTTCACCATCAGATATACTTGAGAATTTCTTGATATAGACCTCGGCTGCTGGGCGGCTGGAAGCTTAGGATTACTCCAATTATTTTTTTTTAAATGATTTAAATTAGTTGGTTAGTGTATACAGGTTAGTTAGTGAGCCAGAGTAAATGAGCACGTTACAGAAATAAGCATGTCGAGCGACTAAGCAAGGTAAGCTTGTATTGTATCCAAAAAAAAAGCAAAGAAGTAATTCTTAGAGAAATATGCAAACAAGCATAAACCAAAAAAATAAAAAACAACGAACTAGGCATATAAATCAAAGAAGCAAAGAAGGAAACAAAGAAATAAGCTTAAGAATATTTAGAAAAAAAAAAGTGGCAAAGGAGGAAGCAATCAATGAAACATGAAAGCAAAGAAGAAAACAAGCATTTACAAGATAGGCACACAAGGAATTCAGTAAGCAAATAGGCAAAAACCAAATAATTAAGTGATTAAACAAAGCAAGGATTCAAGGACGTAAATGTGCATGAATTATGTAATTTCGAAACCAAGGCGCCTGTGTTTATTAAATTATTCATGCAAAAAAAAATCATTTATCATGTTTACTCTTGTTTGAGAGACCACATCAAAAGTTTACTGGGGTTAGAATTTGAAAACAGCATAAATTACTTGCTATTGTCGAATATTTATGTCTCAGTTAACCGTTGGACTGACGTGGAGAAAACCCCGGAAATTATGAAAGACCACCGTTTTCGTTTTACTCAAGAATTAGTAATACTAGATTTATAATCTGCGTATTGCGCGGAATTTTATTTTTAAACAGTTAATTCATTATATTTATCTTCTTATTGCTCTTGATTTTATTAGACTCATTTTTTATCTTTATATTATCATATTTTTTTATTTTTTTTGTCTTTTTTCTCATCTTCAACATTTATGTCCTCGTGTTTTTTTTAAATCTTCTTTATCAGTTTTGTGTTCTTCTTTTTCTTCTTTTTTTTTTTTTCATCTTCCTCTTCATCTTCTTTGACTTCTATTTTTTTTATTTCTATTGTCAACAGCCTAAATACCTAGAACGATTCAACTTTTTTTATTATTTTTTCTTTCGATATTTTTTCATATTTTCTGATTTTGTTTCGTCTCTTATTTTACTTAGCTTGTGTATATATTATTCTTCTTTTATTTTGTCTCCATCTACACGTTAATCTTTATATTTTGATTTTTTTCTTATTCTTCCTATTGTTCTTATTCTTTTTCATCGTCTATGATTTTCATTTTCATCCTCATCTTTTTCTTTAACTATGTTTTTTTATTGTTTTCCCAATTTTTACTATTCTTCTTCTTCTTAATGAAAAGTAATAATTATAAACAATGAGTGAATTAATCTATTATATTAAAACAAAACCACTTTTAGTGTTTGCTTCCAAACACTCTCAAAATTTTTTAAAAATATTTAATTTTATATATAATTCGAAAATTTGATATTAATTTAGATAACTACGATTTCTTAAATATAGCTTATATTTAATTCAAAATTCAACTATTTATTTTTTGTAATTAATTAAATTCTTTAAAATATATATTAATTTAAATTACTTTAAATTTCTTTAAATATAATTTAGATTTAATTTAACATTTAAATTTTAAATAATATTTTTTGAATAACACATATGATTAACAATATCTTATTATATTTTTTTAATCATATTCAATCAAATTAGAATTTTACATATTAAAAACTGATAAATATTAATATTATATGATAATTTGACGGATGGTTTAAGTTTTTTTTCCTAATTATAATCTTATACGGATTAGATTATCAAAACATGCAATATATTGAGAAAAAATTATTTTAAAATTAGTATATATTTATATTATATGGTAATATGAACAGATGGGTTAGAATTATTATTTTATAATCACGATCATTTTCAGATTAATATAATGAACGAGTTAGAAATATGTTTTTAGAATAACGGTCATTTTTTATTAATAAAATGACTGTGTTAGAATTATGTTTTTATGATCATGGTCATAATAAGACTAAAAAAATATATCTAAACAAAAAAAAATCTTTATCACTAATTAAAAAAATTAGATCTATAAAAATATAAATTACATTACAAATTTAGATTTATAAAAAAATTCCGTGCGAATGCACAGGATAAAATCTAGTTAAGTCATTAACTTTAGTGTTTGTATTTTTTATTATTAAATGAAAATAATACTATTTAAAAATGTGTGAATTAATTAAGTCATTAATTTTAGTTTTGTTTTTCTATGCTGATGTGAACACCTTAGATGGAGAGAAAACTGTGTGAATTAATTAAGTCATTAAATTTAGTGTTAGTGTTTTTCTTTTATTAACTAAAAATAATATTATTTAAAATGTGTGAATTAATTAAGTCATTAATTTTAGTTTTGTTTTTCTATGTTGATGTGGACATCTTATCTTAGATGGAGAGAAAATTCTCCCGTTATATAATAGATTTTAATTAATGCAGTTATACCATAAAATCATATGAGTATATTTAATGTTATTTAAAAAAACATGTTAATCCCACCATAACTCGATACGTGTATCCCAATTCCCTAAACTATTACAAAGAAACAATTATATTTATATTTACAATAGTTTCTCTCAACAAATCTTGTCTTTACTCAGAAGGAAAAAAAATAAAACAGTTGTTATGTTGTCCTTTAGTGAGGACTAATCAAATAATAATAAATAAAAGTTTAGCTGGTGGGGCGAATGGTATTAGGTGCTAATTGACACATCAAAGTAGAACGTTATTAGACCAATGTCCATTCATTATCCACTCATCGATATTTTTACTTATTATTTAATGTATAATGTATAGTCCAATTTTATCATGGATCCACTAAATGTGTCTTAATTACAAGCTTTTTTGATTAATCAATGCACTCTTAAGAGACGCTTAAACAAGTTTTCTTAATTAATCTTTAATTTCCAGCCTTCAATGGCTTCTTCAGCCGCCACCGTCTTCTCCGATTCTTCTTTTCGATCTTCGCCTCTCCACAACAACCACCGTGTTTCCCGTTATGTCACCGGATCCTCCCCCTTCATCTCTCTCCGTCGCCGCGGGGGTTCTCTCCGTCGCCGCGTTCTCGTCGCGAAATCGGCGCTGATCGAGCCGGACGGAGGGAGACTCGTCGACCTCGTCGTCGAGGAATCGCGGCGGCGCGTGATGAAACGCGAGGCGGAGACGGTTCCGGTAAGGATCAGGCTGAGTCGCGTGGATCTGGAGTGGGTACACGTGCTCAGCGAAGGCTGGGCTTCTCCGCTCCGTGGGTTCATGAGACAGTCCGAGTTCCTCCAAACACTTCATTTTAACTCGATCCGGCTCGAAGACGGCTCCGTCGTCAACATGTCGGTTCCGATCGTGCTTGCGATCGACGACGAGCAGAAGAGTCGAATCGGCGATTCTGACCGAGTCACGCTCGTTGACTCGTTCGGTAACCCAATCGCCATTCTCAGCGAGTGAGTTTCTTTTGTGTATTTTGAATTTTCACATCAAAATCGAACATGGTTCCTTGAAAACCTCTGCGAATTTGTATGAATAAGAACCGAATTTGTGAAATTCTCGAGTAGATTAAACTGATTCTGACGTGATTGATTTGATTCTCAGCGAGTGAGTTCGTTTTTGCATTTTCAATTTCACATCAAAATCAAACATGATTCCCTGAAAATCTCTGCGGATTTGTATGCATAAGAACCTAACTTGTGAAATTCTCAGTTTAATCTGATTCTGATGTGATTGTTTTGAGCCAGCATCGAGATCTACAAGCACCCAAAAGAAGAGCGTATAGCAAGAACATGGGGAACAACAGCTCCAGGTCTTCCTTACGCAGAAGAAGCAATTACCAAATCCGGAGACTGGTTAATCGGAGGCGATCTACAAGTCCTGGAGCCGGTCAAGTACAACGACGGTCTCGACCGGTTCCGTCTATCACCATCTCAGCTCCGCGAGGAGTTCACGAGGCGAGACGCGGACGCGGTTTTCGCCTTCCAGCTCAGGAACCCTGTACACAATGGTCACGCACTTCTCATGACCGATACTCGAAGAAGACTTCTTGAGATGGGTTACAAAAACCCAGTCTTGTTGCTGAATCCACTTGGAGGGTTCACTAAAGCAGACGATGTACCTCTCAGCTGGCGTATGAGGCAACACGAGAAGGTATGTACTAATAAAAACCCTTATTTTCGATTCCTTCTCTTCCAAGTAACAGAGCAATTTCCTCCTCCAGGACAAACATTTGAGATGATTTTAGATTCTGTTGCATATGGAGTGAAAATGTTGAAATTGCTGTTTCCTGATTAATGAAAGGGAAACCAAGAAACCCTTTCTTCCCCTACAAACCCTTATTTTCGCTTCCTTCTCTCCCAAGAAACTCTTTATCATTAGATAGCTCAAGGATTATGGTTGTATATGGAGTGAATATGTTTGTTGCTTTGATCTTGTAGGTGCTTGAGGATGGTGTTTTGGATCCAGAGACGACTGTAGTCTCAATCTTCCCATCTCCGATGCACTATGCTGGCCCGACCGAGGTTCAGTGGCATGCCAAAGCTAGGATCAACGCGGGAGCCAATTTCTACATTGTTGGTCGCGATCCAGCCGGTATGGGCCATCCGGTAGAGAAGAGGGATCTATATGATGCTGATCACGGGAAGAAAGTGCTCAGTATGGCACCGGGACTTGAACGGCTCAACATTCTTCCCTTTAAGGTTTCAATCAATTAAGATCGTTAGCTCCAAACTCTTAAAATTTTGCAAGTTTTAAGTCTGACAGATTTTGGATTTGTCTGCATAGGTTGCTGCGTATGATACAACTCAGGGGAAGATGGCCTTCTTTGATCCTTCCAGGTCTCAAGACTTCCTCTTCATATCAGGAACCAAGGTATACTCTGATTCTACGATCTATTTCCATATCCAAGATTCATACTTTCGTGAGACATACATATGGATGGGGTTTTATTATTGTAGATGCGTGCCTTGGCAAAGAAGAAAGAGAACCCACCAGACGGTTTCATGTGTCCCTCTGGTTGGAAAGTGTTGGTTGATTACTACGACAGTCTCAACGCCGAGGCTAGTAATGGAAGGGCTTCGGAAGCTGTCGTTACCGCTTAAATGCAAAGGTTACGTGTCCCACAAGTTACAAATTTCTCTGTTTGCTACGTACCAAGCTCTGTATATCAAGAAGCTTACAATAAAAGCAATGTGTGTTTGTATAAAACATCTGTGTTCTTTGCGTCTCCGTTGTCATCGAGTCGCATCGATTTGTACCAAATTTACGTATTGCTGTTAATAAGAAGAACTCTTGTGATTGTGTTCAACCGTACTATACAAGGAAACATAAACTGTAATCTAGAAAGTAAAAAAAAAAAAAAAAACTAATTTAGACAAGATTGCAGAAAAACAGAGTTTTACGTATGTTTTGTTACATGATTGTGGGGCCCATAGGCGGTGGCGGATCTATTCCGGGCAGTGGCGGGTCGATTCCCGGCGGTGGAATCTCCGGTGTGCGAGGTGGTTCCCAGTTCGGAGGCACAATATCAGGTGGTCTTTCAGGCACGGGTGGATCTGGGGTATCTGGCATTGGTGGAGACGGAGATGGTGGAACCGGAAACTCAGGACCTGGATTTTGCGGCGGTCCAAGCGGTGGTGGATCATTGGGAACCGTAGTAACTTCCGGTGGAGTTTCTGACGGATTTATCTCCGGTATATAAGGAAGCTCTGGAACTTCTAACGGAGCCCACTCTGGACCTTTACTTGGCCGTGAAGGTAGCTCTTCCTCGGAGGGTGACCCACCGGGAAATTGAATTTCCGGTTCTCCGGTTTGGCTAACGAAATCGAACTGGGTGATAGTGTTAGTCAAGGACATTAACCCTCTAACCGGTTTAGTAGTACACGAGACCGATTTCACCGCTCCGATTAACCGTGTGCACCATGGCTTAGCCTTGGGTGAGAATAAGAAGAAAGATCCTCTCATAAGTTTTGTAGAAACTAAAGACATAACACAACTCTGCGACATTTTCTCTCGTTTGCTCTAATTAAGATCATTTCTTAGAAAGATACAATTTTATTACAGGTTTCAAGTACATTGACACGAACCATATACGTATCATTATTGATTGACACGTTGTAACACGTGGCAAACTTGCACACATGAATGAAACCATATACATATGTTAAGATAATTAATACTAGTAAATAATATATGTCACATAAGTACATTAAATAAAAACATAACAAATGTTTCACCAAAAGAATTAAAACAAAAAAATTAGGAAGACGAAACCGGAGTGATCCTAGGAACTGCAACAGGAAACTCATGAATCTCATCACTCCAAGGATTCGTCTTCTCATTCTTCGGATTAATCGTTCTCAAAGCTTTCCAAACAGCACTATTACACTTGAAACCGGATCCAAAAGCAATCTGCCAAGTCCTATCTCCTCTCTTAATCCTCCCTTTAGCTTCACTATAAGCAAGCTCATACCAAAGCGAGCTACTCGAAGTATTACCAAACCGGTTCAACGTCATCCTAGACGGCTCCATATGCCACTCGGATAAATCAAGATTCTTCTCTATCTCATCAAGAACGGCTCTGCCTCCCGCGTGGATACAGAAATGCTCAAAAGCTAGCTTGAAATCAGGAATGTAAGGCTTTATCTTCTTGACTTTGAAGACTTTTCGAGCCACAAGGGTTGCGAAAAAGAGAAGCTGTTCCGACATTGGTAAGACTAGTGGTCCTAGAGTTGTGATGTTTGTCTTGAGAGCTTCTCCGGCTATGGCCATTAGGTTTTTGGAGAGAGAGACTCCGATTTTGCCGGTTTCTTCTGCGTTGTTGTCTTCTCGTTGGTACACGCAGCCGAATGCGTTGTCATCGGCTCCTTTGTGGGTACGTACGGTGTGGATGAGCTGATATTTTGAACGGCTGCGATCGGAGGAACGGTTAGAGAGAAGTACGGCGGCTCCACCCATACGGAAGATGCAGTTAGAGAGAAGCATTGATCGGTCGTTGCCTAAGTACCAGTTTAGGGTTATGTTCTCTGTGCTCACAACTAGTGCGTATGAGTTTGGTTGTACCTGCATGCATTATTGTCACGATTTGATAAGTACCAAAAATATGTAATTATACGTAAAACAAGATTTTAGAAACTAATTGTAGTTGTCACATGTGTATGCACCTAAGACCTAACGTTAATGTATATCTCATTCAAGAACTTTGATTTAACTTGCCAACCAGATTAGAGATTTAAGAAACTTGCAAGCACGTGCTACCACGTTAATTTTTCTAACTTTGTGTAAAATAATAATGCAACAAATCCTAAATTCCTAATACATGTACTGTTGTGATTGTAATAAATAAAAGGAATCAATTTTTGTATGCAATAAATAAAATAAAACGATGGTCATTTAACACAACATTATGGTTTTGCCATTTTCACAACTACCACCAACCCAAAGACCAAAAGGCCTGTCACTGTCAGAATTTTCATTGACACGTGACTTTTTTGACCTTTATGCTTCCATACAACTCATCATAACAATAAAAAGTTACAACTATGATTCGATTTATAACATATGATTCGATTTTGAATAAATTAGTCATATTTACGCGTTTTTTTGGTTCTTTTTGTTCAATCATACTTACATGTTTATAGCAGATAATAATGACATGAAAGCGAAGTCAATCCAAAAAAATCTAGCTGGTAAATTTGAATTAAATTCTTATTAAGTTAGACAGACCCGGAAATGATTAAAACTTTTTATGTTCCTAACAATTTTCAAATTTTATGAGCTGTCGTTAGCCTTTTCAACGTTTGTAACGCCAAATAAGAAAAGTTTTTCCACGAATCACGACGACTCATTATCTAACCGGATTAAACCATACCGAATAATTATAACAGAATCTTAACAAGTATCAAAACGAATTAAACAATAAAAATATATTTACCTGGAGAAGCTGTTTAGCGAGATCAATGGAGATAAGTCCAGCACTACAACCCATTCCACCAAGATTATAGCTCAAAATATTCCCTCTAAGCTTATACTTATTCACAATCATCGCAGAAAGTGACGGAGTCGGATTAAACAAACTACAATTCACCACAAGAATCCCAATATCCTTCGGTTTAATACCAGTTTTCTCAAGAACCGCGTCGATGGCTCCGAACATAACCGTCTCGGCTTCTTTCCTCGCTTCTTCCATACAAGGATTAGGAGGAACACGAAGAAGAGCTTCAGGGAAGTAAGTTTTCTGACCAAGACCGGATCTCTCGAGGATCTTTTGCTGAAAAGCAAGATTATCTTCCGTGAAGATACCTACACGTTGAGATCGGTCCATGAACGTTTCTCGAGTGCAGATTAAAGAAGGGTCTGGTTTGTAGCATGAGAAGTCGAGGAGGAAGACACGGCGAGGACGGGTGGTGAAGTAGGCCGTGGAGAGAGAGATTAGGAGCCCGGTGGCGAGTGTGGCGGAGAGGAAATGGAAACGGAGGTGATTGTAGAGGAGAGTGAGGTCGTTGAGGGAGAAGGAAGAGAGGTTTGCGATTGTTGCGGCGAGGAGAGGGAGGAGGAGGATGTAGAGAGCATTGGAGATTAGGTAATGGTAACCGAGTTTGACGTATTTGAGACGCACGGATAAGAGGAAGTTTGGGAGGTTGTTTGGGTTTTGGTTTTGGTTTTGGTCGGAATTTGTGACGTGGACAGGGACGGGACGGTGAGGTTCGTTTTGGTTATGGGTCATGGTGAGAATGATGAATTTGTTCTTGTTGGTGAGGAAGATTGAGAAGAGAGAATATGTAGAGAAGAGAAGTGTCAAGTGTAAGATTTGTTTTGTGTGAGAGAAGAGAATGGCCTGAAAAGTTGGAGGAGTTTTGAGAATTTAATGGGAAGTTTTTGGACAGAGAGGAAGAGAGAGAGAGACTTGGCTAATAAATGTGGTTAGGGGAAATGGGAAATATTTAAGGAAAAAAATAATGTTTTTATAGAATATACAAAAAGAATAATTCTAGCAAGTTCAAACAAGTAAATGAATACTAACGATATTTTTTTTCTGCGAAAAGAAAAAAATATATGTTTTAGGATAGAACTAAAATGGTATATTCTTCAATCATCAACAACTTGTATGTTTTAAAAAAAACATTTTGTAGCTTTAAAATATTTTTTTTATATAAAATTTACAAAAAAGAATAATTCTAGCAAGTTCAAACTAGTAAAAGTAAAACGAATAACAATGATATTGTCTCTACGAAAGAACAGAAAAAAAAAAAGAAATTATATAACTCAACTGGTATTATTATTTTAAGAAATTGTGTGAAATAGTGTGAAAATTAGAAATTTAGAATTAAATAATTATTTATACCTGTGGAGAAACAGTAATTTACAAATTACTCGTAAGTGTAACCAACCAACTCTCTTATTTCATATGAAATGCAAGTTTTATAAAAAGGAAAATAATATTTAAAAATCGAAACTTAAAAAATCAAATGGATAAATAAAGGTTATGTAGAGAGGGAAGATGCAACTACCCCAACGAAGCTTTTATGGTTTTCGACAGTTGCGATTGACACCTAAGAGAGGTCTCCGACGACTTTTATCCAATTGGTGGCTAAACTTGGCCGCGTATGTTATACTATTGTACCCTTGCTTTGACCCATTATTTTCGAGACTACCCTCGTTTTCGAACAACTTGTTGACATTGAATGTATGGACCCACGTTTGTTCAGGTGTCATGATTTGATTCGAAGAGTTCGTGTGAACTTAATGTTTGTGTATTACTATAAATTTAGAATCACTTAAATCATGGTATAGAAAATTAGGTGAATAAAGTTTGTTGAACTAAGTATGAGGAAATGTGTAGGTCACTCTACTAAACTAAATTTAAGGCATTTCCATGATCAACCCCAAAACCTTAATGTTGACGTTTTTTTGGATTCTTACTAAATTATTTTGACTTGCAAAATTAAATTATGAGTTTATTTTAGTTTAATGAAAAATTGGTCGTATTTTATTTAAGCTTGGAAAACACTGATTGCATTTTATTAGGTTAAAGTTCAACACTTTTAGATCTTCTCCAATTTATTATGAGTTCAGGAAAAAATAATTCGAATTGATTAATGTCGAAATAGAATTTGATACTTTTTTGACCCAAGAAAATAATAATATGAAATTTAGCCAAAACTAAACTCAATTAAATATCACATTATGGTAGCTATCTATACAACTTTAATTTATAAAAAAAATTCACCTGACTGATTGCCTATATAGTTGGCTAATCTAAAATTTAAGAGTGTGTTACCATTAGGTATAATTTTTGAAAGTATAATGTCTAAAACAAATACTTTTAAGTTTTAATTACCAAAAGATATAATTTTTTATTATTTAGTTAAGATAAATGATTGTTTTATTCCTTTTCCTTTTTATCTTACACACTCTTTATAATTGTTTGTTGTTATTTATTTATTATTTAAAAAAAAAATCAAATAATTATTTTGACACTATAAATTATATTTTTTTTAATGCTTTGATATCCATTTTATATTTTTTAATTCATATTTTATTGTTTAATGATAAACACATACATATCCATATAGTAGTGTTCACGTAGATACATATATAGATATTTATGCAATTATATAGGTGTATATATATGTATATACATACTTATTTATATAGTATTGTATACGTGAATAGAAATATATAAATATATATGTATACATATATATATATATATTTATCTATGTGTATATATATTATAAATGGATGTAAATATATAAATATAAAGTTAAAAAATAGAAAATAAGGAAAAAAAAAAGAAGGGCAAAAAAATCAAAAAATAGGAGTAAAATAAGATAAGTCCACCATTTTCAGAAAGTGTTTTTTTTGCAATTGTACTTTCAAAAAGTACACATAATGATAATATTTTCAAAATTTAAATATCATAAAGTTATTAACATTTTAAAAATATTATCGAAAATTGTGTAAAATATTTAGTTCAACAATTTATTCATTTTGCTCTTTTAGTTGTTTCAACAATTATTCATTTTTTCAGAAACGATTTATTCATTTAGTTATTTTAGTCTATTTGGAACCAATTATAATAATTAAAAAATAACTTTTTTTAGTCTTGCTATACTTGTCAATTTGAAGTCTACCTTATATGATGAGGATTAAAAAACCAACTCCAAATTTTGTAAGTAAAAAGCATTTAGTGGCTGGCCCTAGTTTGTTACCTACTCGGGGTGTATCAAATTGGGATCAAATCAAAAGGGTACAATGGGGAGAAAGTAATTTATAGAAATAAATGGGCCAAATAAAGAAAGCTGGAGAAAGTTGGGGTGGCAGCTTGAAAGTGCCAAAGTGGTATGGAGAAAGCACATGACATGAATTTATCAATTGGGATACACACACACTCTCGAATTTATTATTTTCGCTTTGACCTATTCCATTACGTTATCGTCTACCTCTTTTGTTTTTCTTCTTGTTTTTCGTATTTTTATTTTGATTTTATATTTTATTTTCTTACCTCATAAGTGACCAAATCTACATTTTCTGAGTGTTCTTTAATATGGGAAAAAATCGAATTATTTCATAGATTGTAATGTCGGATCGGCACGGATCAACAAGTCAACGAATTCTTCTTTTTATTTATTTATTAATATGTATATTTCAAACATATATTATATATACAGAAAAAATTTAGGATTTTATTTAAAAATTGCGTTTTTGAGATGATTTTTATGACACTTTAATTTATTATTATGAATGAAATATATTAAAAATCTCATCCGAAACTAATCCAAACTCGATTTTCTTGACCGAGCGAATCAAGTCAAACTGAACATTGTATTTTTTTTATAGTCTATTTGACCATACTATAGTACCACAGATAAAATTGAATATATATTAAAACCTATTGAACCTCATCAAAAACTGATCCAAACTTGACTTCTTGACAGAAGAAAATAATTTAAATATTTAATTTCATAACTAAATATTTTGACTTAACTATTTTCATTAGTATGATCTTAGACAAGAAAAATGAACGATCTTTGTGAATACTACAACATAGATCGTTCATCGTTGTGTCCTTATCACAAAGATCAATGTGTTAAAATAAGACCGCGTTTCAAAACACTGCTCTACAGATTTCGAATTATTCTTGTTTGTTTTTTTGCGAATTTACAACACTAACTAATAGATAAATATTAAAAAAACATTGTCTTAATTATAACATGCCGACCTACTATTTTAGTGATCCCAATTAAATTGTAATCTCATGCGTGTGAATCTATTACATGCGCGTAAGAAGTTTTGTATTTGATCACTTCGATCAGTTGGCATGTGTCAACACAATATGGGGGGAGTTTGTGTGTTAAGCCATCCAATATATTAAATTAACTAGACAACTTATTCTATTTGCTTAAGATATTTCCTACCAAACGAAGCAATTCCGGTAAGAAATTACTCCTGGATAAAACCATTCTCCACCACACACAACTCTTTCTTCTTCATTAGTTTTACAATAGACAACTTGTTCAAGTCATTCTTAGATAAAAAAATCTAACTAGTATTGTATTTAGGTAAAAAAGTATGTTCTAAATATAGTGATGATTTTTCTCCACCTTTAAACCGGCAATATATCACAAACTTTCAAGCATATGAGGATTCAAGTTTTTTTTTTCTTTTATATTAATAAAAAACAATGTAAAGAAACGGCTTGTCAAAATCAATTTTTTTTTTGGTAATACTTACTTACACACTATTTTGGATGGTTTGGTATGATGATTTATACACGAATAGACATTCTTTCTTAATATGAATCCAAGTGAAAGCTTGGAACGTCGATAATATAATTATGAACAAAGTTAAAATACAACCAAAAATCGTTAACTCATTGAAAAATTAAAAGTGAGATATTATAATATATATGTGGTTTTGGATTAGGGAATATACGGATGTCGATCCAAAAACTCGTAATCACTAGAAAAAAAAAATGAAATGATTATTTGCACGAGTTCGAGTGTCACTACTGCAATAAATTTGACGGATGATACCTTGCATATTTTAAGAAAATTAAGGTCATTGATTGGTATAGTGCTATTTTATATGGCTAGTCTAATTTTAACTTTTGATTGTGGATATTTATCTTAGCGCTATTATTGTGTGTGTGTGTCATATTTCAAATTTCATTTATATTTTTATGCACAGTAAGCTAATTTCTTCGATGGATTAATTAGGAAAACTAACAAGATCAGTGGATCACTTGTACCTTAAGTCCCTATTTTAAAAATATGTTTCGTTGAAATTACTGCTGACTTTTCATTTGTTATACTATAATTTCTATAACTAAAATGTAGGTGGCAATCCATCCATCCACCCATATAGTAAACCCAAATCTTAGTTTAATATTTTTGTAATTAATTTAGGGTGAGATTTGATCCCAATTCCCAAGTAGTTGAGACATAATGCTATTCTATGCTGACTATCCATCAGTAAATTAAAGAAAATTTGGTCTATTATTTGTTTATTTTATTTTTTGTTTGTATTGTAGCCTAAAATATGACTTGCTAACGATTAACTAAATACTCCCTCCGTTTCACAAAAAGTGTCGTTTTAAGGTTGTATTTTTGTTTCACAAAGAGTGTCGTTTTATATTTTCAATGCAAAATTTTAAACAATATTCCAGTTTTAACTCTATTAATTTAATGTATTTATTAGATAAAAATAAGTTATTTAATGTATTAATAAGGGATAAATTATACTTTTAATAATTTTCTTAATATGTGTGAAAAATGTCAGAATAACATTCTTTATGAAACGGAGGGAGTAAAGAGCAGCATTTAATTTAGTTTACCCTCCAACCACTCCCACCTTAATTAATTCCTGTTTGGAATCATTTGTTTATGATTCTTATCTAACTGTTCCCTAAATTAATACTCCTTTATACAACTAAACAGACCAAAGCAAGGCCAGCTAGATATCTTACTTGAATTTAACAACAAAATTAGCGGTACATAAATTTATTGTTTAAGGAACTTTTTTAGTAAGCATCCGACTAATCAGTTTAGGCATTACCATTAATATATTTATAATAATAATTTTGTAAACAATCATTAAAGATAAAAAGACAGAAAAATGTATTTAACATTATTTAAATATTAAAAGCAATAATATTGAGAAGAAACTCAATTAGTTATTGATTCACCTTTGATTAATTAGTTAGAGTGTTAGACAATAGATCTTCTCTCAACATCCGATTAATGTGTATCGATTTTGTCTAAAAGTAGTTGAATCTATAAATGATGTGGAGTGATGATCGTCACATAAATTTGGACCAACGAACCAAAATTGGGCCGAACATATAGTATTGATTTCAGTTAAGGACAAAGTTGGGCCGTTAACAATGAGTATAATAGTCTTCACGTGGCGCTTCTAGATTTGTTTGTCATTTGATAATATAACAGTCAGTAAGTAATCACTATTCTTCTTCGCTTACACAAGAAAAAAGAAGCGCGGATTTTTCATATGGCTCCAAAACTCTGAGACACACAAGCAAGAAACAGAGAGAAGAAGATAAAGCTACAAAAAAATGGCAACGATAAATTCAACGGTCACGATTCTCTCTCCCAAATCGATCCCAAAAATCATCGATTCGAAGACCGTCGGTTACGGTTTATCTCCCAATGTCGTCAAATACGTCAATTCCTCTTGTCGGAGATTGAAGTTAGCGAAGCTGGTCTCGGCGGCCGGTTTATCGCAGATCGAACCAGACATCAACGAAGACCCGATTGGTCAATTCGAGCTTAACAGCATTGAAATGGTAAGATTTGAGTATGGATTCTTGGAGGTTTCGTGGGAGATTTGGTGATATTTGTTCTTCGGGTGTTTCTGGTTTCGTTGCAGGAGGATTTCAAGTATGGTTATTACGATGGAGCTCATACTTACTACGAAGGAGAAGTTGAAAAGGGTAAATTTTAGTTTTATTGTTTGTTCTTGTTTTGATTCTTGTTCTTCTTGTTCTTGTTCTTGTTTCGTGTTCTTGGTTCTTGTTCTTATTTTATCAGCCAAATGATTTGTTGTCTTCATGAAATTTGTTTTTTTAAAATGTTTTCTTCAGGAACATTTTGGGGAGCTGTTGCAGATGACATTGCTGCAGTTAATCCTCCATCTGGATTTCAAGGTTATCCATTTTAACCCCATTTTTGATGCTTTTTTATGGGTTATGTTTTGTCTCTCTCTTATTGATTGAAACTCGAAAATCGTTGGTTTTGTTTGCATTTGCAGGTTTAATCTCTTGGATATTTCTTCCTGCTATAGCTGCCGGGATGTATTTTGATGCTCCGGTAACTTTTAAAACTTTTGATTTCTTCCAAAATGATGAATATGAGCTTATCATAGGCTTACACTCAAAACTAATTGGTAATAAGTGAATTTGTCTATATACTTTATATATTACTTAGGTCCAATCTAAATTCCCAATGTGGGATATTCTCACACAAAGTTTTCATTAGTGCAACTTGAGCTATAACTGGCCTAGGACTGAAACTAGATTATAGATGTTGCGAGTTGGTTAGAGAAAAGTTAGTAAAACCTGTGGATTTATAAGCCTTGTCTCAAACAGATTTAATAAAATTGTGGATTTTCTAGTGTTTGATTGTTATTTAAGAGTCACTCATTAGTCAAGTTTCTCTTGTTTGCTAAGGAAAGGAGTTGTGTGTATGAATGTGTTGCAGGGTGAGTATATGTTCATAGGTGCGGGGTTGTTCACGATAGTGTTCTGTATAATAGAGATGAATAAACCAGACAAGCCACACAACTTTGAGCCTCAGATTTACAAATTGGAGAGAGGAGCTCGTGACAAGCTCATGAATGACTACAACACGATGAGCATCTGGGACTTTAATGACAAGTATGGTGATGTCTGGGATTTCACCGTTGCGAAGGATGATATAGCCACAAGATAAGATATTGATTCTCATTGTAATGATGACTTTTGATGGAAACTGTTTATAAATGTTACTATGTGTATAATATAGATTGTTATTTCTATTAGTTTTGTTTCTATGGTTCAATGGATCTCATGACACCATCAGGGAAAAGAATCCTTAGAGAAAGACCGGTTAAACCATCAACGAAAGTGAAGGAGATGAATTGGCAAGTTGTAGCGGCTAGATGTCGAAACCGTGGTCGCGGGAATAGAGGTGGCCGTAGCTAAATCGATTCTTGGTGCTAATCTTTCTGCTAAACCGAAGCGGAGGACTCGGTTTATTTGCTAGGTCATTTGATTGTGATCTAAATTTTACACTTGTTGTAACCTACTAAAACAATAGGATTTTCGTCATTGTTGTAACCGCCATTATGAATAAAAGAACTCGTTCTTTAAAACAAAAAAAGGAAAAAAAGGAAACCCCTTTGTCTAGAATATTAGGTTTCTGTTTCTTTTGTTTAAACATGTTAGCTTATGTATATATGTTTGCATAATTTAGCCGTCATTAGTATTTTTGGTGGTTTACCAAAGCTTTTACACCAAGGTTTGGAGTTCAAACGGCACAAAATGTTACTTACTACGGTTATTATATATATATATATATATACCGTGGATTTACTAAGAAAAGTTAAAAAAAAACTTTCGACCAACACAAAAGTAAACAACTAAGAAAGTTTTAAAAAGTGACAAAATTTGCCAATAAGGCAATGACAACAAAGTTTATAAATGTGATAATTTTATACAACAACGACAACATAAATTTCAGCCATACGAATTAAGTAGAAGATTGTTCTCTCCCACCTCACCGTTTGTGCCCACACGGGAGTCCACTTGAACATTTAGATTGTCATGTCAAAAAACAGATATGGTTTCTTACAAAAAGGATGTAATTATGAAAATGACTTATAAACTATTTAAATATATCTTAGATCAAACTAGTTTTGTTTCTTAGTTACAAATATAAAATGTTTACTCACAAATAAGTCTAGCGAGTTTGTTTCTATATATAAAGTTACATATTAATCTGTGCTTTATCAGCATAAAATATACAATGAAAGTATAAAGAGTATTGAAAACAGATGATTCTATTAATTGAGAGAGCTCTCTAATATATACATATACAACAGTAGTGACATCATATGAATTATATAGTAAATGAGAATTATAGACATAACAAAGTTACAGGGATACTGATTGAGGAATGAGGATTGCCATAGATTAAGGAGGAGAATAATGAATTTTGTTTTTAATATTCTTAACACACTCTTTAGAGGGGTGGTTGCAACTCTAATCTTGTCATGTTCTAGGAAACGAAGTTGAAGTTGAGGTAATGGCCTTGTAAGAGCATCAGTCGTTCGATCTTTGGTGTTGACATCAGAAATTCGGAAAATGCCATGTTGAATCTATCCACATATAAAGTGATAATCCAGTATTATGTGTTTCATTCTCAAATGGAAGACCGGAGTTGTGATAACACTGTATTTGTACCTATTTTTACTATTGATTTTAAATGCTTTTTCAAAGGTTTTAATCAATTTTATGAACTTTTATTATGATTTCTCTATGTTTGTATTTTTGAGGTTCTTTTCAGAAAACTTAGGAAAAATGATAGCAAAATAGAAGAAATCCACATTTTTAGCTCATAGTCAGACCGTCAGAAGTTCATCCTCAAATGAAGACTTTCACCGTCTGATCCAGCTCAAATTTGGAGACATTCAAGAGGAGACATCCAGCTTTCCATAACACTTTACATTAGGAAGATCCAACGGTACAATCAAAAGATACATGGAGAACAAGTTGACCAAATTCACCAGTCCCAGAAGACTCTCACCCGCAGCAAACAAGCAATTCACCTACCCCGGAAGACTCCCACCCCCAGTGGATCTATGCCGAGCCACAAGGCCTAACATCAAAGCCCATTTCACCATTCCTCTTCAGAGAAGCCTTAAATGAGATCTGGAAGACCTTAGGACCTATAAATACATTTTTAGCAGCCATAGGGGTGTGTGCTTCTGTAATGAGATTTTGAGCCACCAAACTTTGTCTTTCTAGGGTTAGGCGATGGAGAAGAGGATTCTTCCCTGGATCCATTGTTCTTTCACTTTTTTATTTATCTAGTTAGCTTTTCTGATTCATTCTTCTACATATTTCATGTCTTTTATCATTTCTTGCATCATGTAGATTAGTCCCAGAGAGTCAAGTTTCTAAAGAGTTTTTGAAGGATACATGTTCGATTAGGATCTCTAAGTTTCTAAACCATATTCTGGATCTCATCTCTTCTAAGTTGTTCATACTGCATGAGAGTAGATTCATGACCTATTCTCTGAGCCTAGGATCAATCAGAGCCACGAGAGTGCTGTATCAGATCATCCATACCTAACTTCAGAAGAACATAGTCGCTACAGGAGTTGAGAGCTACCTGTAGAGAAGATGTGAGAAAACGAATTCAATAGTTACTGCATGATCTTATTCCTGGCATGAGAGCGATACTTAATTATCAGATTTAATTGATCAGTTGGTTAAGATGACGAGAGTTGGTTAATCATACATATGTCTATTCCAGTTCCATGCAGATCCCAGAAAATAGATAAGGATAAATCGCTCGGAAGCTAATTGGAAATGCTTTGACATCGATAAGAGTAAACCGGAGAAGTCTAAATCGCCCACTATCTTTAGTTTGAGTCAAACACCTTTTGATATTCTTTAAGCAACTCATTTGCATTGCATTTTATTTCCCGTAAATATTATATTAGGTTTAGTTTAGGATCCCGTAACCAAAAATCCCAAACCCCCATGAGTTTATGACTTCGCTTACTCTCCTAGTTTGATGTTTTCTCGCAAATTAGACATCTTCCCTGTGGATCGATACCCTAAGTTCTGCAATATAAATCCGTGCACTTTCAGACATTAGAGTTTTATAAATTTAAATTTACAGTCCAACGGGCTTGCAAAAGATGAGCAAACCTGAGGCCCATCAAGTTGTTCATAGGGATGTGGTACCAACGTTGTCACAGTAGACCACAGGAGTGGTTGGAAGTGTGATGCAAAATTTTGTGAGAATGTTGCATATCCAACAAATTTTTGAGGTTGTATTAGCAACTAGCCTATATTTACATTCGGTGGAAGATCGATTGACTTATTTTTTTTTTTGTTATTCAAAAAATATGGTGACTTTCAAGATAAATAATATTGGAAAAATAGTCGTCGGAGTCTCCGGCTTAGTCAATATTAAGAGTAAGAAGACATGAAGCATGAGTGTGTTATTTGCTAAGAAAAATATGCCATATGTGGAGGTTCTAACCAAGTAACATATGATTCTTTTAGCTGCCAGCCGGTGATCGTGAGTTCGACAGTGCATGGTTTGTGAAACATGATTGACGATATGTCTGGTGAATGCAAAATTAAAATTCAGCTAGCTTACGATATTCAATGGGATCGAACAGATACCTGATGTTAACGTTAGCTTTGGCAAAGACACCATTGGTTTTGCTATTTTTTTTGTGTGTTAGTCATGTTATATATCGTTGAAGAACGTCTAGAAAATTTTTTTCGTGAGAGATAAAGACTTTATTATATCCGATGGGCTTCAAGACCCAAATGATGATCTTCAGGATCTTTGACTAAGAAACAATCATCTAGCAAGGAGAAGATACATTGAATCATCGTTTCGCTATTATATATGACCAAAATTTCATCGATGTACATTAACAATTACACAAAGTTCTTACTCAGCTGAAGTGTGAATAAGGAGTTTCAGCCAACGAGTTTTTGAAACTAATGCTGTGAAGAAAATTTAACAATTCCATGTACCATATTTGCGAGACCTATTTCAAACCGTAGGTTTTTTGCAATGACGATAGACATATGTCGGATTGTCCTTGTCAACGAATCAAGATGACTATTCCTTATAGACTTCCTCTTATATTATTTGGAAAAATGCGTTGTTGACCTCTTACTATTATGTTTGCCATGATCGAGTGACGAAAATGTCTAGAACAAGTTTGATTGTTATTGACTTGATTACTTGACTGAAAGTGTCAGTGTGATCGCGGCCAAACTGTTGATTGTATCCTTTGACCATAAGTCTTGTTTTGCACCTGCCAAGAGAAATATTAGGAATAAATTATTTTTAAAAACCCAATTGCATCAAAAGATTATTGTGGGATCAAACTAGTATTACATGTCGTGATTTCGAGTCTGGAAGAATTATGAGTTTTAGCCCATAATTTTCTGGTAATAAAAAAAAAACCACTTGCATCCGTGTTTTGGCCGAACTGTCTCAGGATGAGATCAAAAGTTTGATTTCGAGCAAAGGCATCAATTTCCACAAACATTATACCACTCTATTTTTGGTCTTTCAACGCTTAGTTCATAGTTGGCAGCTTGGAGGGAGGATTTCTGTTGATAAAGCAACATAAGAGTTGTATTTCAAAATTGGGTTTAGCGATTTTTTTTTTCCGGTGAGTTTGCATAGGATGAAGGTTTATCAGTTCAGGATTGTCGATATTGGACTATGTGAAGAACTTTGAATTTTAATTTCTTGTGGTTTCATTTGTGTCGAGTCATGGGAATATGGTTTGGTTTATTTCAGATGGTGGGTCGGGTGTGGGAGAGTTTGTGATGAAGATCGGCTGTCTAAGAAATTTGTATTTGTGTAGGATTTTATTGGAGGTGGGCCTATTGAATTTAGTGAATTTAGTGGGTTCTAGGATTGGGTCGAAGTAGGTAATCAGTCGAGGTAGATAATAGGGTCGAAGTAGGTAACTGTGTCTTGCTATCCAGCTTTTCTGTATCACGATTTTTATGATTATCAAGAGCAAAATTGTATTTAGCTGCCGCCGATGTCGTCGACTGGTGATGATTGAAGTCTGTAGGTCCCTGTGGTAACGACAATATGAATAACTCATAAAGAGGAACAAATGTGGCTGGTGAAGACTGAAAGCAAATAAAAAAAAATTATTATCTTGTGGTGGTGGTTAATTTAGATTGCAGAAAGAGAAAATGCTTTCGTTGAAGCAGACATGGCGTGAGGTATAGATACAACTTGAACTTGGTTGAAGACAAAGACAGACACTCTGTGTAAAAAAAAAAGCCAGAAGAAGGCACACGCAACAGGGATCTTAGAGCTTATGTTGTATGCAACTATTAATTTATGCTAATATGATCCGACACAAGTTCATCACTTGGTGCAACGTTAACCCCAATCAATTTTGCAGATTCTCAAAGTTCAAAGGATCCTTGGGTTAATGGTTGGAAGATGAAGTCTAATCCGTGGATTTTAACCCTTGGATCCTCTCCTATGGGACAAAAGCCATAATGGAAAACCATAGTCTGAGGAGCCTCACAATCCTATCGATGTATTTTTCCATGAAACTTGATCTCGTACAAGAGAAAATGAAAGGTAGAAATGAATAAATGAATCAATCATTGCTCCATTAAAAACACCACATCATAATCAGAAGGAAAAGAAGATTATGGAATATGTTGCTGGCGATAACAACACAAACAAATCTGCATCAAAATCAGCGATTAAAAAACATTCTGCTACTAATGCATCTGCTAAAATTTCTGAAGCTAACCCCTATGTTGTCCTAAGAGATCATACAAAAGATCTCTAACATTTGGCAGTGATGCTCAATTGCTCATGAAGAAGACGTATATTATGAACGCCCTTTCACTTCAAAACATTGGATATGTATTTTTTCAGGTAGAAAATTAGTACAAGATGATATAATGAGTATATTTGTTAACAAAAAAAAAGCAGGACTAAGCCAAAGGAACAAATATTAGATGAGGATCTGATAACACCAGATTTTGACCATTTTTATGGATCACTTTGATATATTCTGCAGTTGTTTTTACTCCATTTTCAAAAGTTTTCAAATGATTTCTATGTTTTCGGATTTTAAAAGACTTTTCAGGTAATTTGGGAGAAAAATGCGCAAATTAGAACAAAAAGATTCTTTTAGATAAATTCAGACCGTCAGAACTGTCATGGAGAGACGAAGACCTTCTCACCGTCTGATCACCCTCAAAATTGGACACTTAATAGAAGACTCAACCAGCTTTCAATTGCACTTGGTTTGGAGACATACCAACGGTTGGATCTCAAGATATTCCATTTGCCCCGAAGACATTTGAAGACGGCCGGCAAGCCACGCGATCGCGGCCAACAGCCCATCCACCGCAGCCAGAGCCGCATGACCGCGGCCAAGCCCGCATTCCCCACGGTTACACTTCACACGACCGCAACCAGACATCTCCGACTTAAGAAGCCCATTTCTGAAGCCCAAGTCATTTCCCAGCCTCAATTCCGGAATCCTAGAGACCTTGGAGTATTGAAGACTATAAATACTTGTCATTTAGGTCGTTTTTAGACATCACCTTTCATATTTTTATAGAAACCCTTTTTCCCAGACGTTTTATGCGATTTTTAGAGAGAATTCTTCAACTCTGAGTTCATCAATCGAGAAGCTTTCATTCATCTCTTTTATTTACTATTTTTGATTGCTTTCATTAAAACCAATGATGATGTCGACCTCAGCCACGGCTAAGTAGATCCCGAGTTGGGCATAAGGTTCCCGGAAGGGGCTCTCATAATCGATTAAGACATCTAGGTTTTCAGATCTGGGATTTTAACTATGTTTATTCTTAACTTTAATGCATGTATGCTTGATTGATCACCTTGTATCTGATCTAGATAGTTAGTGTTGCGAAAGTTTTCATTAAGTATCTGACCAAGAATGAAACATGCGATTTTTCCATAGAAATAGAAACCTACCTACGGCGAAGTCGTGAGTACTGATGAGTCCTGTGCAGCTCTTGCGTTTTCTCCCTTCCAGGGCCAGAGTGGAAACCTACTGGTCAGGGTTGCGAGAGACAGTTGGTTATGATCACAAAGGTGACGTAGTCATACCGCCATACTCTAGCTCTAGAACCTTCGATATCCGTCAATCCTAATCTATGATCCCTAGTGTTGAAACCGATTATGATCCCTGTAGAGTTCCCGAAACTCCAGCATTTTTAGTCATTTCATAGATCTGCATTTTTATTTGCTTAGTTCGATTTTCTGCTTGCTTCACTTTGCTCCCATTCGATTTTCTACTTGTTTTTTAGGGTAGATTCTTTTGCTTTCTTTAGTTTTAGTTTAATCCATGACAAAAACCAAACCCCCTTAAAACCGATTTAGTCTAGACATAAACTTAGAGACCGTAGAAAAATACTAGGCACACAAATCCCTGTGGATTCGATCCCTAAGTACCACAATTGATTAGATGTGCACTTGCGGCTTTCATTTGTTTTTATTAAGGGTAAAACTTGTTCTCTCACCTTGTGGCACATCAAGTTTTTGGCGCCGTTGCCGGGGATTTGTTTCGCTGTCCTTTTTATTTTTCTTGTTCTAATTTATGTTCTAGACATCTGATCTCTAGTTCCTTCTTAAGCTGCTGAATTATCTTTCTCTTCTTTTGTTTTTCTCTGAATTTCATGAATACCAGCGCAGACCTGTAGAAAACATTCTAATTCTAGATAAGATAGACTTAGACGAACGCAAGGAATGGCCGACGATGACCACCCTAGAGATCCTGTTAACCGAAACCTAAACAAGGACCAAGATGGGTCCGAGCATACTGAAAATGAAGAGAATGATCACAGAGAAGGTGAACATTCTCAACAAGATGGAGAATAGAATGAGATCCCTCCAAGAAATCCTCAAAACCAAGAGAGAGAAGAATGCGAAGACGTTGATGCACCGATCAATGTAGCCGATGGTAACAACCAGGAGATGCAGCCGAATGGACGCAATAACCGCCCTGTTCAGCAAGAAAATCAACACCGAAGACAAGCCAGGAACCATCACATAGCTGATTTTGATGCACTTACTCAGAATTTTCATAATCGAACTGCAATTCAAGTGCCATTCCCGAACTGGAACAAGTTTGAAGTCAAGCCTCAAATCATCTCTTTGGTAAAATAAAACCAGTTCCATGGAGGTCCTTCCGAACATCCAATGGATTATATTGAACTCTTTGAAAAAATCTGCATCATGATGAGGATAAACCAAGTTCTAGTAGACTATCTAAAGTGTAAGTTGTTCCCTTTTTCATTAGCAGATAAAACTCACCGTTGGTTGAAATCTTTGCTTGCATGATCGATTACTAATTGGGAAGAATGTAAAACTGCTTTTCTGAACCGCTTCTATGCTAAGTCAAGGTCAAACTTACTTAGAACAAAGATCTCAAGTTTCCAGCAAGGACCGGCTGAACCTTTCTATGAAGCCTGGGAGCGTTTTAAAGAGTATGACCGTGATTGACCTCACCATGGATTTCCCGGAGCAAGCCTGCTGAGCACATTTTACAGAGGTTTGCAACCAAAGTACAAACTTTCACTTGAAACAGTCAGCAATGAAGATTTCAGACAAAAGACGATAGTACAAGGAAGAGCTCTCATCGAAATTTTGGCTTAAGCCAATAGCAATGATTGCCCGGAATACGATCGATCGACGAAGCCGACTGGAACGAACAATAAAGAGATAACCGAGTTGAAGAACATGATGATCCAACTTTTAAAAAGCCACAATCACCCAATCTACGCTTGTGAGACAATTAATGGCACAGAAGATGAAGGACCTTGTGATACCAATCACGCTAATCCAACCTTTCAGGAAGAAGAAGTGAACTATGTAACAATGGTTTCAACAACAACTTCCGAAATACAAATTTCAACAATCTCTCTTTTTTACCGAAATCCAAGTGTGGAGAACCTCCAAGACCAGCATTATCCACCGCAGCAGAGACCCTTCCAAAACAAGTTCCAAGGTGAAAATTTTGGAGGGACTGGAGCTTTTCAGCCGCGACAACTATATAAATATTAAGGTACGGGATTCAATAATCAATTTGGAAAACAGCAGGGAGTTACAACAAACCAGCTAGCTTCATAAATCGGAAGACTTGAACAGTCTATCCAACAGCTTGTTATGACAAACGAGAAGGCAGCTAAAGACATGAACGTGAAAGTCGATTGCATGTACAATGACCTGAACGGGAAGTTTGAAGCTTTATCTTCTCACGTCAAAAAGCTGATTCTATGAAAAGACAAAATGAAGCTCTTCCCAGGAGAGTTGAAGATAACCCAAGAGATTTTGTAATGCCATCACTATATTGCCCGAAGAAGGAGCTGAAACTGATGGAGAGGACAAGGAGACCTCAGTTTTATACCTCTCTACAAGAATTTCGATGCAAAACAACCATCCTTTAAGGTATCCCAACGTTCCCGCTTCAAAAGCTTACAAAAGCCGATGAACCGGGACGTTTTTCTTTCCAATGTTTCATTTCAGGAATCAAATTCACAGACTGTTTATGCGATTCCGGAACCAATGTCAACATCATGTCTAAAAATTTTCTAAAAAATTGGGGATAAAGACCTTAAGGACGTTGACGGTTAATGTTATCTTTGGAGATTCATCTCAAAAAGATACCGAAGGAGCGATTCATGACTTGCAAATTCTAGTTGGGAACAAGATTGTTCCAGCAGATTTCCAAGTTCTGGAAATGGATGAAGACAAAGAGAGACCACTTATATTCGGCCGACCGTTTCTAGCTATAGTAGGAGCAGTAATCGATCATGCAAACTGGCATGCTGTCTTTCTGAACGTGGACCGCAAGAAGTTTCATCCCACTGTCCCAGGCGATGCTTCGAACAAAGAAAAGCGGCCAAAAGAGAAAGACAAGGAGGAGTCAAGGCCTTTTGCAAAAATCAAGATCATCATTCCACCAGATTCAACAGAGTTTAGTGAGGAACAGATCCAAGAACTGATCGAGAACACTAAAAAGGTTCTAAACAACGTTAAAGTCCGAAAGAAAAGTAAGGGAAAGAAGTATTACAAGAAGAAGAGGCTAAATCTCCAGCACCCGAAAATGATAAAGGCACATCAAGAGAAGTGTCATATCCTCCAACCTGATCTTATAAAGCCTAAGTTGAGGTAAACGACTTAAAACAAAAGCGCTTAATGGGAGGCAACCCATTTAGGTACACTTTCTTTTAGTTTTTTTTTTTTTTTGCAATTTATGTTTTGTCTTTCTTTTAAAGTTTCAGGTACCCTTATAAATCAAAAACACAACAAAATAATAAAAAAAAAACCAAAAAAAGAGAGGTTTTTAGCTGCTCGGCCCGGCAAGACCTGGATGAAGGGTATAGGCCGCAGGAAAATCGGCCGTGGTCGCAAACAACCGACCCACGACCAACGTTAAATCCGACCACGGCACCATGAATGTGACCGCAGCTGGACCCTTATTCACCGCGCTCGCGCGTCTTCTGACTGCGGTCGTTGGTCGTTGAGACGGGACGTGCGATTCCCAATACTTTTTCAGAGATTCCCGGGACAGCTTATTCTGATTTTCCGTAAGTTTTTAATTTCCGGTTACGTAACAAACAAGTAAGGTAAGTTTTGTAAGCTTTTGAATTCCCAAAATTTTTTTCGTTTTTGCCACAAAAAGGCTTTTTAAAGAAAGAAAATGCACTTTTTGATCAAAACTCTTTTTTCTCTTCTCTTCCAAGAGACTTGGAGATTTAGGAGATAGAACATCTTTTGCAATTCTTAAACTTTTTAAGAGATTCTTGGACCAAACCTCACTCTTTTTCAAAGTTGATTTCAGATCTATCATCAAATCTCTCTTTCCAGCAAGGTATGAAACTCAAACTCGTCATTTTTAATTGGTTTTGGAATTTAAGGTTTTCTTAAAAAGCTTAAATCTAGGTTTATTACTGGTGGAGATAGCTTAAGAATAATAGATTAGCCTTCTAGGTTGTCTGGAAATCGATTTAACACCTGGATTAAGAGGAATTGAGAATTTTCAAATTTGAAATCTACATGCATGACAAGAAAAGATAGAGTTAGCATATGCTTTTTGAAAATCGAATTTGGACTAGTAAAGTTGATGAATTTGATCAAATATTGTGTGATGAGTGATTAGTATTAGGTAACCTATATATTTGCATGGAAATTGCTCAATTAAACCAAATTTTAGAAAATTTCTATGTCAAGAACACCACAAATCCGAATTTGGTCATGAACTACTCAATTTTTCGATTTGATATCAATTATGCTTGCTTGTTGGTTTAACTAATCGTTAATATGTTAAACTCAGCATCCATATTCACTCATTTTCCGAGATACCTTGTCTTATAGGGAAATGGAACGAACCGAGTCTCGGAGATGCCGTCGCACTGGTGACAACTCCAAGGCAATACCTGATGATATTACTCTAGGAGAGTACATGCTGAATCGAGCTAGACCAAGAACAAGAGGTCGAGTGATGAGGCTGCTCCAACATTCACGAGAGGCCCATGCGATTCCCAAGCCACCAAAAGATCAGATACATTGGGAAGGAGATCAACCCAAGAGTCGACTATGCAAGGTGGTTTCAAGATGCTTAACATCAAACCAATGCCCTGCATTGATTATCATATACTCGAGATGCTTGGGATTAGAGAAGATGTCATCTGGTACATCGATGCACTTAGGTTGAGACCCTACATGGAGCTGAATCTTCCAACTTATGCCGAGCTAGCTCGCGAGTTTTTAGCAACCGTCACCCTTCACCACACGAAGAGGAGGAGCCCCAGAGCATCTGACGGTGTTTTATCATTCTTTACCCGCAGACAGTCCTACTCACTTAGCATTTCTGCACTTTGTGAAGCTCTTAAGCTTCCATACACTGATGGCATTCATCTCTAAGAAGATCCTGATTTTGACTTATGGAGAGAGATGGGTCATAGCGTCTATGATAGCGGGAGATCCAGGTCAGTCCTTCTTACTCATCCTGCAGTGAGAGTTGTGCATAAACTCTTGGCGCACACGATTATCTCTAGAGCCTTGTTTGCCTGGATCATCGCACATAACATGGTGAAGGTGAAGCATGATTTACATGGATGTGAGGATGCTACTACTGCTTTTGGGAGCGCCATTACAGCCATACTACATGCTGTAGGATTTGATTTATCATCTGATGATCCACTTTCCGACGTCTGGTATGACCTACTCTATCTCTCTCGAGATCACACTATCTCTCTCGAGATCACACTATCTCTCGTGCCATTTTCGATCCAGACAGGTTCGGTTACAAGTATTGCACTGGCACCGAGAGCACCGAGTTTGTTTACCATCAGCATCAGTCTTGAGACTGTGTAATGGAGCACGCCCACAATGGACTTCGGGACCTGATGAGTTTCTACCTTCTGTACCTCGCCTGCCACTCACTATCGGGCAATACATAGTGGCTAAGACCAAGCGCGACGCGGCTGTAGCACGTTCTCGCTATCAGCCATCAGTTTCCACCGACCATACCTCATCATCTACATCATCACGCACACAGTCTGACCTGGAGCGCAGATTTGAAGACAGGGACGACGTTTTGGGCGCGTCGTCACCTTCCTGCAGGAGCAGCACCAGTTTGAGGCAGACACATCAGAGGAAGATTGATCATCAGCACTTCATCGTCATTTCACCACCATCACAGTTCTATCATCGTTTTGTTTTCTTTTATTTTTAGACAATATTGCTTTTATTCATCATATTCTCACCAACTTTTTCACACTGGGACAGTGTGATTATCTGGGGGAGGATGTCTATCCGTATTAATCTTTTTTTGCCTTGTTTTTTAATTTCAAGTACTTTTAAAAAAATTAATATGTAACCTATGCAACTTTTAGTATTTTTTAGGAATGTTTGACACAAAACTATGATGATTTAGACACGCACGCTTCTACACTATGCATGATAGCTCATTTATGGTTAGCACTAGACTAGGCGGTAGCTAAAGTACGTGCATTTCGAACTCCCAGAGGACTTCAATTCATGGAGATTATTTCTAACAAGATATACTAGCTCATTTTATTTGACTTTAATATTAATATCTAATTTTCTCATAATTGATTATAGGTAGGCATCGAGATATACATCTAGGATATCTTTTTCATCATTTCTACCACTCTTTGTCGTCCTAGATGGCTAGTTCATCTTTATCTGGTACCATACCATAACCCCAAACCTTTTGTTTTCAAACCTCATGCATTCTCTCTTTAGTTTATATCAGCAGATATGTGCAAAAACGTTGGAGAGAAGCGGAACGACGCAGTTTTTCAGTCACAAAAGAGAAAGACTTAATGGAATTAGGAAGGAAGAGTATCAGAAACGTTATCAAGATTTATATTGCCTCATAGAACTCATTCTTATTGGTAATTTCGTGCTCTCTATGACTTTATATCTAAAAGTGTTTCCTCTTTCAAATCTTTAGGTAACCGAGAAACATTTTAAACCTCACCCCTAGAATGACCTCTTTTGATACCTAGCTTAGATCGTCTTGCTTATACTTTCTTTGATGAGAACCACCAAAAATTTTAATGAACGTTAAGAGCTAGTTGACTGGAAGTTAAATCTAAGTGCAATAGATTTTAATCAAAATTAATTCCAATGGTTGGATCTCAAGATATTTCATTTGCTCCGGAGACATTTGAAGACGGCCGACAAGCCATGCGACCGCGGCCAACAGCCAATCCACCGCGGCCAGAGCCACGCGACTGTGGCCAAGCCCTCATTCCCCACGGTTACACTTCACGCGACCGCGGCCAGACATCTCTGACTTAAGAATCCCATTTCTGAAGTCCAAGTCATTTCCCAGCCTCAAATCCGGAACCCTAGAGACCTTGGAGTATTGAAGACTATAAATACTTGTCATTTCAGTCTTTTTAGACATCACCTTTCATACTTTTACATAAACCCTTTTTCCCAGCCGTTTTATGTGATTTTTTAGAGAGGATTCTTCAACTCTGATTTCATCAATAGAGAAGCTTTCTTTCATCTTTTTTCTTTAATGTTTTGATTGCTTTCATTAAAACCAATGATGATGTCGACCTCAGCCATGACTGAGTAGATCCTGAGTTGGGCATAGGGTGCCCGAAAGGGGCTCTCATAATCGATTAAGACATCTAGATTTTCAGATCTGAGATTTTAACTATGTTCTATGTTTATTCTTATCTTTAATGCATGTATGCTTGATTGATCACCTCGTATCTGATCTAGATAGTTAGTGTTACGATAGTTTTCATTAAGTATCCGACCTAGAATGAAATAGACGATTTTTCGTAGGAGTGGAAACCTACCTGCAGCATAGTCGTGAGTACTGATGAGTCCTGTGCAGCTCTTGCATTTTCTCCCTTCCAGGGCCAGAGTGGAAACTAGAGGTGATTTTGCAAAGTTTGGTCTTCATAGCTTCAAATTATTCGTCATGATTGAAGGCCGGTTGGGCGACTGGATTGACGGTAGATCCCAAGGCTATAGATCGGACTGTTCCAGTTGGGTTGCCTTCCGAATTGAGGTCGGCTATTAGGTTATGACTTCGCAATGGAGTTTTCGTTTGACTGACCGGCGATTTGGGCCCCATGAGGTCCATGTGTTTGTTGTTCTGTTTAGTTATCTCTTGAAACTGGGCTGTTATTGCCTGGAGAAGGGCGTTTTGATCGAACATCCGACCGGCCCGTAGGAATTCTGGTATTGATTGGATCTGCTCCGTCTGGGTCTTCCGGAGTGTTGTCAAGGTTTCAGGGCGTGCCGTCCGGAGGTAAGACGGTGTTGTTGCCATTCCTTGTTTCAGAAGCAGTTAGGTCTGCCATTGCCGAATTTTTTCTTCTCATCAAGCTAGATTGAAAATATTCTGTAGTTCCTCACAGACGGCGCCAATTGTTTATATATAATATCACACTAAAGGGTAAAACAGTAATATTCGAATCAAAAGTCTTATTTTATTAGAAGATAGTTCAGAAAAATACAACTTGTGGTAAGGTCGTTGTAGTTTTTACGACCTTGTTAACAAAAAGAGAACTCGAAGTAATTTAACGATCTCAAAGCCCACTTCTAAGGTCTCTCTTTGCTCTTGATTTGCGGATGCCTCGAATGAATGAAATCTTCATCTATTTATTCGAATCCTAAGGCGGTTTCCTTTTCCTTCTCAATGTGGGATTTGACATTTTCCTCTGATATTTTCGGAAATCCTCTGTGAAATCCGGAAAGGTCGGCTAATTTTGTGAAACTGAGCTTTAACGGATCTCCAGAGAGTCTTATGTCGGCCCACCCGAATTAACCTTAATTCCAATCTTCGTAAACCTAAGTCTCTGCGAACTGGTTTTGATTAATACCGGGTTAAACTGGGGATGCGATGTACACCACCAAGAAAAATGCTTAAGCATGTCCCAAAACAAGTTATGACTATTCTAATTTTATTCTAATTCTGAGACGCACAAATCCATAGCTTAAAAACATAGTATCAAAGATGCAATCAGGTGTGTCTAGAACGAAGAAAACAAACAAAACCCTGTATAAAGTGAACTCAACGCAAGAGAGTTACACCTGCAGTAGTGACGCCAAATTTCAACAGGTACATCTCATAAGAGAAATATGAGAATAAAGTTTTTTAAGTAATTCTAACATCAATTTATTAGTTAAAATTTATCACCAAATTATTCAGTTAATTTCATCATCGGGTTATTCAATAAACTAAACCTTACAAAAGAAAGTCTTAATTTTCTACATAATTGAGAATCTGCACCAGTTCTACATTAAAAGATATATTAGAAACATAAAGCAGCGGTGTAGTGCCAAAAAAATGGTTGAATAATTCCTTATCATGATGAGAAAACCATCATAAAAGGAGAACTAGATGCCGAAACAACAAGACTATGAAAACTCTTGATTCTGAGTACATTGAAGGATTAAATGAGGATAAACATAAATGGTGCGAAGAGAAAAGTGCTCCACTGATGTGCAAATTTATTTATTGCTTGCATGCATCTTGTACATGGTGATATAAGATTGTCACCGTAGAGAGGATCTAATTGTTGATTCAATTGTTGGTGTTTTTCTCATCAAGAATATGGCAGACCACTCATCGAGTTATGCATTTATGAACATAGCTGCAGGGTTTGCAGTAATCTTTTAATCCAAAAAGATCATATAATGAAGAGTGGAAAAGTTCAGTAACAATAATGATTTGGATCCGAAAAACAAAACCTGCAACTTGATGAATATGTAACCCAATCATCATCGTAGATAAAAAAATTAGGATGATGACGACATTAATAATGTTTGTAGTCAAAAACGTTCTATGAACATTGAAAAATCCATCAGTTTTATTAACCAATCAAAGACGATGATGTTTGATGCAAACTTTGATGATTTCAGAAACAATATGGATGAAAGAAGTCAATGTCAACATATGGGTATCCATCAACAATAAGAATTCAACACAATAACAGATCAACATGAGTAATAAGAAGACTAGGAACAAACCAAGTATTTTAAGTCTGAATAATCGACCTGCAAATAAAGACTCAAAAGAAAGCTTTGACTGGGGTAGTTTCAAAAGGTAAGTAGAAAATATTGCCTAAAGAGAAAGAGAACAAAAACAACAATGGACATGGTTGATTGGGATGCACTACAGTGCATACTTAAACAAGATCTTTAATATAATAAGAAGGCGTGGAATCAACACCAAGCTTGCCCATATAATCAAGGTCTTCTTAAAAAATTGGTTCAACAACACAAATAAATTGATTTAGAGTGGTTAAGAGATGTTTCGCCTAACAATGCGAAGAAGTATCTAGTGAGCATATATAGATTAGGATTGAAAAATATGGAATGCGTTAGATTTGTCACTATAGAGATTGCATTCCCTGTTGACACTAATGTTCGACGAATAATTGTAAGACTCAGATTGAGCTACCTCACACACATTATCCGATGAGCTGTA